ATGATTGCGACGTACAAGATTCTTGTGTATATAGGCAAGGTAGATACAAAGGATCTATTTATCAGGTACAACAGCAGGCGATCCCGGTACCTGATTTTATCTTTCTAGGTAACTTCAACTTGCCAAATCTAAGATGGAGAATAGCAAACAATAATATTATACCAGGAAATCTATCGGGACCTAACCAAACACAGTTTAGAAAACTACTTAGATTCTGTGACAAATTTTCACTCAACCAGCAGATATCAGAGCCAACGAGAAATGAAAATATTCTAGATCTGGTCTTTACAAACAATGAAGACATAATCAGAGGCATTACGATCTCAGATACCACATACTCAGATCACAAGCTCATTGAAGTCAAACGACCATCAATACTCAGAATAGACCTAAAACGTTGATCATTCGAAAGGGTTATTCAGTAAATTTAATTTTAATAATAAAAGGATAGACTGGGAGACAATAAACAGGGAACTTACAAACATTCCATGGGAAACTGTTCCAAGTAAAACAAGTCCTACAGAAGGAATAGAAATACTGACTTCGGAAGCATAGCAAGTCTACCTGAAACATGTTCCTTTGAGGAAAGCCAGAAAGATGTCCAACGTAGAAAGAGAACGCAGACGACACTACAAAAGAAGGAAAAATAACGGAAATGCTTAAGCAGACACGACTTCCCATGCAAAGAAGGAATAATTTAAACAGGGAGATTAAAGAAATCGAACAGAGAATGAAGCATTAATATCAGCTTGAAGAAAGGCGGTTAAAACAGAAAGCAATTCAGGAGATACAGAAAAACCTAAAATATTTATTCACATATGCGAAATCAAAAGCAAAAACCACTGCCAGTATTGGACCTATTCGTACGACTGAAGGTTCATACACGGAGGATGACAAAGAAATTAGTGAAATCCTAAAAAAACAGTATGAGGACATGTTTAGCACTCCAACAAACAACATGAAAGTGGAAGATCCGGACAACTTTATGCGTGATATCCAAACCCTGTAAATATAATTGATATCAACACGAGCGTGGCAGATTTTGAAAGAGAAATTGACCACATGCCCATGCACTCAGCCACGGGTCCAGACTCATGGAATTCAATATTTATAAAGAAATGCAAAGTGCCAGTAGCACAGGTACTCAGTATAGTGTGGAGGAAGAGCTTGGACACGGGGGAGATACCAGATGCACTTAAAGCAGCAGACATAGCCCCTCTACACAAGGGAGGGAACAAAGCATTGGCAAAGAATTATAGACCAGTTGCACTAACGTCCCACATAATAAAAGTATTTGAGAGAGTGATCAGGAGTCAGGTCACCAGTTTCATGGAGACCAATGACCTCCACAACCCAGGCCAACATGGAGACCAATGACCTCCACAACCCAGGCCAACATGGAGACCAATGACCTCCACAACCCAGGCCAACATGGAGACCTATGACCTCCACAACCCAGGCCAACATTAAGACCAATGACCTCCACAACCCAGGCCAACATGGAGACCTATGACCTCCACAACCCAGGCCAACATGGAGACCAATGACCTCCACAACCCAGGCCAACATGGATTTAGAGCGGGAAAATCATGCCTCTCACAGCTACTTGACCATTACGACAAAATCACTGAGGCATTAGAAGAAAAACAGAATGCAGATGTGGTATACACGGACTTCGCAAAGGCATTTGATGTGACAAACCTGTGTTCTCTCGGGTCTTCCCTGAAGCTACTTAGCTAATTTATAACACGAGGAAGAACAGTGAGGGGGGGGAGGGGTGGGGATGGGGGGGAGGGTTAAGCATGATAGATAAGGGTACAATTGATCGATGAAAATGAAAATTTGATTGTGTGCAAGACTAATTCTCCACCACCACCACCCCCACCCCCTGCACCACCACCACCACCCCCACCCCCACCACCACCCCCACCCCCACCCCCTGCACCACCACCACCCCCTGCACCACCACCACCCCCTGCACCACCACCACCCCCTGCACCACCACCACCCCCTGCACCACCACCACCCCCTGCACCACCACCACCCCCTGCACCACCACCACCCCCTGCACCACCACCACCCCCTGCACCACCACCACCACCCCCTGCACCACCACCACCCCCTGCACCACCACCACCACCCCCTGCATCACCACCACCCCCTGCACCACCACCACCCCCTGCACCACCACCACCCCCTGCACCACCACCACCAAGGCCCCCTGCACCACCACCACCCCCTGCACCACCACCACCACCCCCTGCACCACCACCACCCCCTGCACCACCACCACCCCCTGCGCCACCACCACCCCCTGCACCACCACCACCCCCTGCACCACCACCACCACCCCCTGCACCACCACCACCCCCTGCACCACCACCACCCCCTGCACCACCACCACCCCCTGCACCACCACCACCAAGGCCCCCTGCACCACCACCACCCCCTGCACCACCACCACCAAGGCCCCCTGCTCTCTCTCTCTCGTTCATTCTTCATTTTTACCTCATTTTTTTCCTCACACACACACGCTGTCCCCTGAAGCCCATATCAAGAGGATAACATCAGCGGCATATGCCAGGTTGGCCAACATAAGAACGGTCTTTAGAAACTTGTGTAAGAAATCATTCAGATCTTTGTATACCACATATGTCAGACCAATCCTGGAGTATGCAGACCCAGCATGGAGTCCATATCTAGTCAAGGATAAGACTAAACTGGAAAAGGTTCAAAGGTTTGCCACCAGACTAGTACCCGAACTGAGGGGTATGAGCTACGAGAAGAGACTACGGGAATTAAACCTCACGTTACTGGGAGACAGAAGAGCTAGAGGGGACATGATCACCACATACAAGATTCTCAGAGGAATTGATAGGGTAGATAAAGACAGGCTATTTAACACAAGAGCACACACGTACTAGGGGACACAGGTGGAAATTGAGTGCCCAAATGTGTGTGTGTGTATGTGTGTGTGTGTGTGTGTGTGTGTGTGTGTGTGTGTGTGTGTGTGTGTGTGTGTGTGTGTGTGTGTGTGTGTGTGTGAATGTGTGTGTGTGTGTGAATGTGTGTGTGTGTGTGTGTGTGTGTGTGTGTGTGTGTGTGTGTGTGTGTGTGTGAGTGTGTGTGTGTGTGTGAGTGTGCGCGTGTCGTTCTAGCATCTTATTGAGAGCGGAGGCCATTGTTTACTTACCCGGCGGAGATAGCCCCCCCTCACACCCCCCCCCCTCACCCCTCCCCACCTCCACCCTTCACGTGTCAAAAATAGCAATGATATCCTCTCTCCTCCTGATGGAGTTTTTAATATCTCACCTTGATACATGAATCGCCCATGACTAAATTTCGGGATTTTTTTTTTCTTTATCAAATACGTTTTGATATATCAAATATATCCATCAAATATATTTTGTTTACCTGAGGTTATGCTCGTTGGCGGGGTTGGTTGTGTTCATGTTAAGATTAGTTGGATTAGTTGGATTAGTTGGATTAGTTGGATTTCTAACTAATCTTGAGTCTGTGATACCTGCTTGATGGGGTTCTGGGAGTTCTTCTACTCCCCCAAGCCCGGCCCGAGGCCAAGCTTGACTTGTGAGAGTTTGGTCCACCAGGCTGTTGCTTGGAGCGGCCCGCAGGCCCACATATTCGGGGTTTTAACCATAAATATAAAAAAAAAATACGGTATAGTATCGTATCGTATCATTATTTTTGCGCGATAGTATCCATTATCGCGGATAGTGGCTAAGGGGGGCCTGACGGCTGAGTGGACAACGCTTGGGATTCGTAGTCCTGAGGTTCCGGGTTCGATCCCCGGTGGAGGCAGAACTATTGTTATTGTTATAAACAGCCTCCCGGTGCTTCGGAGCTCATTAACTGTTTAATAATTATAAACAAAGCCGTCGAAGACTGAGAAAAGATGGACAGGTTCGCAAGTGCTTCCGTAACTGCTTCGTTAATCTGGGTCCAGGGTCTGATATCTTTCGTACTGGGGCTCTCTCATAGGTCAGTGGAAGAGCTCCCCCCCCCCCTCACACCGTGGGATCGGTGGTTCGAGTCCCCCCTAGTGCCCAAGGGAAGGAAATGAGACATTAGTATACCTCCCCCTTGCTCGTCTCTTCCTCCTCGTGCTCCATATTCTCCTCCCTTTCCTGCCCAGTTTCTTGGAGTGGTTAGTACACCTACGGCTCGCAGTATGATGGGTCGGCGTTCGATCCTCGGTGGCTCAAGTGGCTGGGCACCGTTCCCTCACTCCATTTCTCCTATCCCAGCTAATACTATCCTGTCCTTGCGTCCGTTTGGTGTGGTGTATATTCATCCTGGCTCAATGGTTGGCCATACTTCCTCTTCGTCTAGTTACTCCTCTCCTTCTTCCTCCCTCCTTCCTCCTCTTCCTCCCTCCTTCCTCCCTACCTCTGTGTCTACAATACCAACAGATTCGTCCAGTGACCAACGTAACTAACCAGGCTGTGGTGGGTATGTGGGCCTGCGGGCCGCTCCAAGCAACAGCCTGGTGGAGCAAACTCTCACAAGTCAAGCCTGGCCTCGGGCCCGGGCTTGGGGAGTAGATAACTCCCAGAACCCCATCAAGCAGGTATCAAGCAGATCACATTGGCAAAGGAGACGAACCCAGAAGCTAGAGTCAGGAGTGGCTGGAGAGGGAGTACTGACGACTGGGGTTCGATCCGGGTTCGAAGCTGTATCCTGATACCCCGGACACATGATACAGGCACTTGCTTCACGCTGCACGTGTCCCAAAAGCTCTATTCCAACCCGTCATCTAGCCTAATAGGCTACGTTTTTAACGGTTATCGACCAAATCGTTAAAAATAACTCCTATTAGTTCAAATGAAATGGTTCGGTAATGTTGGCGTTTTCTATGCATCGGTGGTTAGGTGGGTTGGTTGGGTTTGTGCGTGTCTGGTTAGGTTAAACTGCTGTATCTTAGACGTAGTGGCAGGTGGAGAGGGGGGGGGGGAGTGAAGGGTGTATGGAGTGTCTAGGGATGAAATGGTTCAACACAGGACCCGCATTGACCGGGCCATTGACACACACACACACACACACACACACACACACACACACACACACACACACACACACACACACACACACACACACACACACACATATACACACAGACGTTAGAAAGAATTTTTTCAGTGTCAGAGTAGTTAACAGGTGGAATGCAATAGGCAGTGATGTGGCGGAGACTGACTCCATACACATTTTCAAATGTAGATATGATAGAGCCCAGTAGGCTCAGGAACCTGTACACCTGTTGATTGACAGTTGAGAGGCGGGACCAAAGAGCCAGAGCTCACCCCCCCCCCACCTGTTGATTGACAGTTGAGAGGCGGGACCAAAGAGCCAGAGCTCAACCCCCACAAACACAACTAGGTGAGTACACGTGTGAGTTACGAGGGGGGGGGGGAGTGCCGATGTCAAACTTCATATAATATGATTTTTTTTGTTTACTATTTACCGCTTATAACTATTTATGATCCACAAACGGGGCCCAGGAGCTATAACTCATTCCTAGTGAACTCAATTACGTTATTACAAATAGTTTAGTACACCCTGTCGAACAAGGCCGGTTAAGCACCGGATATAGCCGGTTAAGCACCGGATATGGCCAGTTAAGCTCCGGATATAGCTGGTTAAGCACTGGTTATGGCCGGTTAAGCACCGGATATGGCCGGTTAAGCACCGGATATGGCCAGTTAAGCTCCGGATATAGCTGGTTAAGCACTGGTTATGGCCGGTTAAGCACCGGATATGGCCGGTTAAGCACCGGATATGGCCGGTTAAGCACCGGATATGGCCGGTTAAGCTCCGGATATGGCCAGTTAAGCTCCGGATATAGCTGGTTAAGCACTGGTTATGGCCGGTTAAGCACCGGATATGGCCGGTTAAGCACCGGATATGGCCGGTTAAGCACCGGATATGGCCGGTTAAGCACCGGATATGGCCGGTTAAGCTCCAAGTATGGCCGGTTAAGCTCCGGATATAGCCGGTTAAGCACTGGTTATGGCCGGTTAAGCTCCAAGTATGGCCGGTTAAGCTCCGGATATAGCCGGTTAAGCACTGGTTATGGCCGGTTAAGCACCGGATATGGCCGGTTAAGCTCCGGATATGGCCAGTTAAGCTCCGGATATAGCTGGTTAAGCACTGGTTATGGCCGGTTAAGCACCGGATATGGCCGGTTAAGCACCGGATATGGCCGGTTAAGCACCGGATATGGCCGGTTAAGCTCCGGATATGGCCGGTTAAGCTCCGGATATAGCCGGTTAAGCACTGGTTATGGCCGGTTAAGCTCCGGACATGATCGACAAGGTTCGCTGAACAAGAGGCCGTTGAAGAAAGCACGTGAACCTTGATATCAACATCAGAACACCTGTCTTACGGCCACTGAGATGGATGGAGAGGAGCAGGTGTGTGTGTGGGACACGTGTGTGTGCGTGCGTGTGTGTTTGAGCAGGTGTGTGAGTGAGGGGACACATGTGCAGGGGGGGTGATTATAAAATTTCTTCACACTTGTGCAGCTGTTCTTGTCAGACACGTGTGTGTGTGTGTGTGTGTGTGTGTGTGTGTGTGTGTGTGTGTGTGTGTGTGTGTGTGTGTGTGTGTGTGTGTACACGTATTATGCAAGAGCTCGCGCACACACACACACACACACACACACACACACACACACACACACACACACACACACACACACACACACACAAGGCATGGAAAAGACCTCTCCTGTGATCAGTATTCCCCATTGTTCCATTCCTTCTGACGTCACCACCACCACGTTCTTAGCTCTTCTAGTTACAACCTGCCTCTCTACCCTCCCCCCCCCTATATCTACCCCCATCCCTTCTATCTACCCCCATCCCTTCTATCTACCCCCATCCCTTCTATCTACCCCCATCCCTTCTATCTACCCCCATCCCTTCTATCTACCCCCATCCCTTCTATCTACCCCCATCCCTTCTATCTACCCCCATCCCTTCTATCTACCCCCATCCCTTCTATCTACCCCCATCCCTTCTATCTACTCCCCCTCCTCTCTCTCTCTCTCTCTCTCTCTCTCTCTCTCTCTCTCTCTCTCTCTCTCTCTCTCTCTCTCTCTCTCTCTCTCTCTCTCTCTCTCTCTCTCTCTCTTACCTCCTCTTCCCTCTATTTCACTCCCTCTTCCGAGTCTTCCTCTCCTCTTCTTTGATAATACGTGAGGCCTGGTCGGGAACCGGGCCTCACGGGGACATTGAGCCCTGAAATCAACAACACCTCTACAACAACAACAACCCCTCTACAACAACAACAACCCCTCTCCCAACATTCATGAAATAACCGGGGATTCCAGGGATCAATGTCCCCGCGACCCGGTTCTCGACCAGGCCTCCTTTTTGTTACACACCCCCAGGAAGCAGCCCGTAGCAGCTGTCTAACTCCCAGGTACCTATTTACTGCTAGGTGAACAGGGGCATCATCATGGTGAAAGAAACTCCGCCCCATTTGTTTTCGTCTCCACCGGGATCGAACCCGGACCCTCAGGACTGCGAATCCCGAGCGCTCTCCACTCAGCCGTCAGGCTTAGGCAATACGGTTGTATTTTTTACGGAGTGATTACTCGTAAGAACAGGATGAATTTTATACTATATTTTATCCAGGGGAGAGGAGTGGGGGGGGGGGGGGTCGTGTAGTGGGGGGGGGGGGGGTCGTGTAGTGGGGGGAGAGGGTCGAGGGTCAATAGGCCTTCTGCAGTTATTTCCATTCATATGTTCACTTATCCAATTTATACCCATTGTTTCGTGTTCTGTCTTGTGTTTGTCACCTCACCCAAAACTTTTGTACCATATCACCTCATCCAATAGAGTATAAGTACGAATAAGTAGAGCATAAGTATAAGTACGTAAAGGGGGTTATGGTAGGGGGGGGGGGTGGTTGAGGGGGTGGTGTGGGAGGTTAAGAGTAATTAACCTCAACGAGCCAACACCCTTCTCTGCTCAAGGTCACATTCACTAACCACTTCGATACAGTAAATATTTGTAAATAATTCTCTTTACCTCAGCCTGTATCTCTCTCTCTCTCTCTAGTTATCGCATATCACCTCGGTCTAGGTATACTCCGGTATACTCTAGGTCCAGGTATACTCTAGGTGTAGTCCAGATATACATAACAGTCATTTTTAATGGGAAGTGAAGGTGCTCTAGTGAAATTAAACTGCTGTAATGTTTTCCTACATAACAAACCCTAACCTAACCTTACCAAGAAACCCTAACCTAACCTTACCCAGAAACCCTAACCTAACCTTACCAAGAAACCCTAACCTAACCTTACCAAGAAACCCTAACCTAACCTTCCAAGAAACCCTAACCTAACCTTACCAAGAAACCCTAACCTAACCTTACCAAGAAACCCTAACCTAACCTTACCAAGAAACCCTAACCTAACCTTACCAAGAAACCCTAACCTAACCTTACCAAGAAACCCTAACCTAACCTTACCAAGAAACCCTAACCTAACCTTACCAAGAAACCCTAACCTAACCTTACCAAGAAACTTTAACCTTACCAAGAAACCCTAACCTAACCTTACAAAGAAACCCTAACCTAACCTTACCAAGAAACCCTAACCTAACCTTACCAAGAAACCCTAACCTAACCTTACCAAGAAACCCTAACCTAACCTTACCAAGAAACCCTAACCTAACCTTACCAAGAAACCCTATCTTGAGTTATCTTGAGATGATTTCGGGGCTTATTTAGTGTCTCCGCGGCCCGGTCCTAGACCAGGCCTCCACCCCCAGGAAGCAGCCCGTGACAGCTGACTAACACCCAGGTACCTATTTTACTGCTAGGTAACAGGGGCATAGGGTGAAAGAAACTCTGCCCATTGCCCTGGTTTAGGCAACAATTTGTTTTGTTCCGTTACGGAGAGGAAGTGTGGAGGGAGAGAGAGGGGGGGGGGCATTAACACCCCCACACCCACCAGGACACATGTGTAGGCAAGCAACAGGTGTGTAATGTGTATTTTTTACCGGAAATTGGGTCTTACTGGGGGAATGTTGAGAGAAAATCACGTGAGTGAGTGAGTGAGTGGGCGAGTGAGTGGGTGAGTGAGTGAGTGCGTGCGCGCATGCGCAAAGGCAAGAGTACATGCTGCCGCCCCCCCCCCCCCCCCCCCGTGGCCACCGGTAGTGACGTCATAGCCCATTATACAGTACAGGTGTGTAAACATTCCCTCCCCCCCCCCCCCTAACATACTCCAATACATAAATAATACATGAAGGGGGGGGGCACATGTATATTTTTACACGTATACTGTTATATGTCGCAGCTAGCGACTCTGTGATTGGTGTAGCCTTGAGAACTCTAGCGAATAGGAGTCGTTGTTGCTAAGGCGATTGATGATTGGTTTAGCCTGACGTAGCCCAGCCAATCAGAGGCCTTGTTGCTGAGGCTGAGAAGACAAAGACGTATCGTGATTGGTGTAGCGCTGAGGAGCTCTAGCCAATAGGAGGAAGATGAACCTTCCCAGGTAAGTGTGGGGAAGGTGTTGGGAACTTCCCTGCCCTACCTTTCCCTACCTTTTCCTACCTTTCTTTACCTTTCCTAACCTTTCCCTACCTTTTCCTACCTTTCCCTACCTTTCCCTCTCCCTTCCTGTCTCACCTCTCGGCGCCCCTCACACTTCCGTTCCTGCTATCTGTTCCCCGCCACCGCCCCTCCCCGCCGCCCCCCTTCACCCTGGCAGGGCATGAGGTAGGGGGGCAACACCCCCCCCTCCCCCACCAGACACGTGTGCCCATGCAAACATACCCACATCCAGCTTCACCGGGCACGCCCCAGGGTACGTGGCGTCTGGGCTTACCTTACGAGGGTAGGGGAAGAGGGGTGTGGGGTGGGGGGGGGGAGGGTAGGCTGGTGGGGCCGGGGGGGGGGAGGGAAGGAGATGTACCAGGTGGTACAGATTCTGTACCACTCGCCTGTCACGCCCTCACCCGTCACGCCCTCACCCGTCACGCCCTCACCCGTCACGCCCCCATTATATAAGATATTTTTTTTTACCCTGTAAAGACGCACACCTTACCCGCCCGGACCACGACATGCTGTACACAATTTCACCCATACATCAAGTTGTTATGATATTGTAAAGTAATAAAGGTAAGGGAATGGAGGGAATATCTAGGATCTTACACTAGGGGTCCAGAGGTGAGGGGTCCCTGGGGGTCCAGGGGGTCCAGAGGGGGTCCAGGGGGTCCACAGGGCACTTCCCCTACCTCGGGAACCTCATTTTTGGCCAGGAAACACCCTAATATTTACCTTATCGAGATGTTTACCAGAGTTGAGGTGGCCTCCGTCAGTGTGGCTTCCCTTAGCAGAGGGGAGGAACTGTGAGTGGACGGGAGGGTGGGTGGACGGGCAGACGGACGGGGGGGGGGGCGGGGCCGTGGACGGACGGACGGGGGGGGGGCGTGGACGGACGGACGGGGGGGGCCGTGGACGGACGGACGGGGGGGGGGGCCGTGGACGGACGGACGGGGGGGTGGACGGGCAGACGGACGGGGGGCGTGGACGGACGGACGGGGGGGAGCCGTGGACGGACGGGAGGGTGGGTGGACGGGCAGACGGACGGGGGGGGCCGTGGACGGACGGACGGGGGGGGGGTGGACGGACGGACGGGGGGGGCACGGACGGACGGGGGGGCGTGGACGGACGGACGGGGGGGGTTGGACGGATGGACGGGGGGGCCGTGGACGGACGGACGGGGGGCGGCCGTGGACGGATGGACGGGGGGGCCGTGGACGGACGGACGGAGGGGGGCCGTGGACGGACGGACGGAGGGGGGCCGTGGACGGACGGACGGAGGGGGGGCTGTGGACGGACGGACGGGGGGGGCTGTGGACGGACGGACGGGGGGGCGTGGACGGACGGACGGGGGGCCGTGGACGGACGGACGGACGGGGGGCCGTGGACGGACGGACGGAGGGGCGTGGACGGACGGACGGGGGGGCGTGGACGGACGGACGGGGGGGCCGTGGACGGACGGACGGACGGGGGGGGCCGTGGACGGACGGACGGGGGGGGGCCGTGGACGGACGGACGGGGGGGCCGTGGACGGACGGACGGGGGGGGCCGTGGACGGACGGACGGGGGGGGGCCGTGGACGGACGGACGGGGGGGGCCGTGGACGGACGGACGGGGGGGCCGTGGACGGACGGACGGGGGGGGGCCGTGGACGGACGGACGGGGGCGGCCGTGGACGGACGGGGGGGGGCCGTGGACGGACGGACGGGGGGGCCGTGGACGGACGGACGGGGGGGGCCGTGGACGGACGGGGGGGGGCGGATGGACGGACGGGGGGGGGCGTGGACGGACGGACGGGG